GTGCTGCCAGTTGTGGTTATTAAATGCGTTTTATGCAGGTGGAAATTTTGGGAAATGTTCAAATTACAGGGGAGATTCTGCCGAATTTTCGGCAGAAAGTCTCATGCCCTTACTCCTCTTAAAGAAGGAGGTTACCTGTTTAAAGAGTGAAACCAGCATGGGTGTGATGCTGGGGTCTCCGCAGGATTCGTCTCGGGTTTTGTGACAAATTCGGGGCGGGTCCTGTCACATTTTTTTGCTTTTTTTATCCTCTTACACATGCATCGCATGTGTGATCAAATGCACAGTGAATGAAACTATGAATTACTAAAATAGATTATTGTGTTTTGTAGTTTGTATTTGTAACCATAAACAAAGGTTACAATTATGTTTAGTTTGTAAATATATTTTCTATTATATTTTAGCATTCTTAATTTATATATATAGAACAAAAGGCAGAGAATGGCGTGAAATATTCAAAATAGCATAAAATACCCTTTGTTAATTCAAACATTAAGAATTGAAATTATTAATTAAATGATGATAATATGGTAAATTCACTTTTTTTCATGTTAAAAAAATTAAAATTAAAAACAAAATAAGATAATTATCCTACTTTTATGGAACATAACTACCCATTTTATCTATTCTAAATTCTAAAAATAAAAGAAAAAATAAAAAAGAAAACCAATAGGCACATGCTTATAGGGGCCAATAATCCCTATATATAAAGAGAATGATGAAACATTCAAAATACTAGAAAATGTCATTAGTAAATGCAAACATTAAAAATTGAAATTATTAATTAAATAAGGATAATATGATCAATTTATATTTTTTCTATTACAAAAATTAAAATTAAAAACAAAATCAGATAATAAATTCTATTTTTATGGAACATAACTACCGATTTTATATTTTCTCAATTCTAAAATAAAATAAAATAATTAAAAATAAAACAAAAAAGAAAACCAATTGGCTGGGCTAGTTGAAAAGAATGCATAAAGAATAACTCTGTAAAAATTCTTGACGAGCTCAATCCTGCATGAATGGAAACATGAAATTTTGGTTTTGGATCACACCATATGGGAATGTAAAGTTTTACATTCCTATCCACTAGAGTTGTTGTTTTTTTTTTTTTTTTTTTTTTTTTTTTTTCCTGGTTGATGTCGAAAAGGATGTTTCATTAAACGAACACAGCAGAGAGAAATACATTCACAGGGCAACTTAAATTATTCTTGCCAGCCACCAGATTGTCGATGGATTTTCATAATCTGTCAGAGTAAATGTCATCCCTTAAAGTCAAATTACATAAGCATACACAAAATGATTAAATGAATACGTCTGAAATCACTAATCCTCATTGTAATATTTCCAAACTCATCATTTTAGTCTACGTTCTTTCAACTCAATTAATGTCATTCTTATCATCGTATGTGCACATCAATGTTATCCACAATGTCAATTAAGTTTAAATTTGCGTCAAAATTAAAGGTAACATCTTCTAAGCTCATGAGATGATTCTTTTTCTTGAAATTTTGATAGAAAAGAAATCCAACGGTCATAATTTATTTTCCTAACACCCCAATAGGCAGAAATATAAACAAAATAATTATAGAATCTTATTGGGTGGATAAAAACCAAATATATACTTGGCAAACTTCCAATACACCACCTAATTAAATTTAAAAAAGAAAAGAAATATACGTGTACAAGACCGGAAAAATACATAAATCCAATAGGGCCAGATACGTTATTAGAAGAAGAAGCGAGTTCCTGAAAGTCGACAAAACCGGAAAAATAAGAACAAAAACAAAAGAGCCAACGTTGGCCAGGCCACAAAGGAAAGGTTACATGTCGGTAGTTTTACCAAAATCCAAGGGCATTATGTGGAACTCGTTTATATTTAATTGACAGCGACGCGCAGAGCAGCCAAGTAACCCATCCAAACAAGCCCTTCTCTCCATCTCTCTCTCTTAAAAAGCACCCCCTCTTATTGTGGCTCTCTCTCTCTCTCTCTCTCTCTCTGCGTTGCGATCCTCACACCACAATCTCATCCTCTCACAGATTCGTCCTCTTCTTCTCGATCCCCAACTGTAAGTCTCCTCTTCTCTGCTATCTCTTCTCTCTCTTCTCTAGCCCTAATTTGTCCGTCCGATCAATTTCTTTCATCCTCCAGATCCCTAATTAATTTAATCTATTTTGTACGAGACTGAATTTTCAATTTTGATTTCAAATCAGTTTACTTTGTTTAATTACTCGGAGGCTGTTGCCGTCTGATTGACCTCCATTCACATCCTTGCCTTTGGTTCCTTATGTTGCATGTCAACGATTCCGATTAGGTTTTTAATTACCGGTTTTTACTTTAATTTTGATAATAATTATGTATTTTTTTCAATATTTTTGTTGTTATTGATGTTTGATTTTGATCTGCTTTGCCTACGATTTTGATCTGTTTTGTGTCTTGGGAGCTGATTTTGGGTTTTGAATTTGTTAATGTACTACTGGCGCTTGCTGAAATGATTGGGCTTTTAGGGTTTCCGTTTGGGGCTTTTCCAGACTTGTGCAAGCTCAATTTTTTTGTTCGTTTTATTGTGATTGAGATTTTTCTAGGGTTTTGTCATTTTTGAATTTTACTTTAAATAATTGTTACTTGTATGTGGCTGTTTCCGTAATGTGAATGTCGATAAGTGAATGACTAATGTGAATATGCTGTCATGATGTGTAAAAAATTGCTATTGAGCTGCATTTGCATATTAAATTAAATAATGTATACTGGCGACTTTGAGCTACCACATTTTCTGTTTTCTGCCTAGTTTTTAGTAGGAAAAAGGAAATACAGGACATTCTGAATTGTTTTTTATGTTTGAGTTCTTCTTTTAGGCTCATGTCATTGTTAGTTTCCTCATAAAATGGCACATCCGTTATTTATATTTCTAACATCTCTTTTGTTTTTAATATTTTCAAGCATTGTTTGCTCAGGTTTAAGTCAAGCATTTGGATTTTATTTTGCAATTTTGAAGTTTTTTTTCCTTCTGTTTCTTATCTGTATGCACATGCCTATTAAGATTAATGCTGTATTGAGTATAATTGCATTTAATCTTGTGCATTGTGTTTATTTACTTTTTTCACTTTATTTTTGAATTTTTTTAGGGTAATCATGAGTGACCAGGGAGAAAAGACTTGTCCTCTTTGTGCAGAGGAGATGGATTTGACAGATCAGCAATTGAAGCCATGTAAATGCGGTTATGAGGTCTGGGACACTAACCTACCTCTATCTCTCTGTGGGTTGGGGGGAGGTTTGGTGGATAGTTGTTCCTATTTTGTCTACATAGTGCTTTTGATTTGAATTTCGAACTGCATGATTAGTCATTCAACTAGTCACTTCCAATGGACTGTTTGTCGCTACTAAAAGTTTGCAATCCTAATCTATTTGGTTACGTGACATATCCTGTGCACTCTTCAACTTATTTGGGCACTTCTATGAATTTATTTTCTTCCTGCCACATTATTGAAACAGTTCTATGTGGATTTGGTATTGAGTTTGCAAGTTACGAAGAATAGTGGCAAAACCTATGGGTAGTATAAGATAATTTGTCATCATTGCAAAGCAAAGCATAGAATTGAGTCTCTTTATAGTCAACCGTCAATACCAATGAAAAAAGGTATTAACATTTGACTCTACTAGATTGGGTCCAGGTTGGTTCAGTACTGGTTTTGTTCCACATATTGTCTTATGCTTCTCTAGAATATTTTTTTGGAACGTCAGGTGTTCCTCCTTTTCAAACTTGGGAAGTGTCTTTTTTATTTTTATTTAATGGCTTTAATTGAGAAAGCTTCAGTGGTGTGAGTGTTTGTAGGAACCCAATATTCCTGTGTATAGCTGACATCCTGATTCACTGATGGAAAACTGCCTTTGCCCACTGTTGGAGAAATACGAAAAGTTTTCTTCACCACAATTAGTCTCTTACAATTGTTTGGTAGGATGGATGGACAGGATAAAATCATAAGTGAAGGATAAAGTGATTGGAAGACAAAATGTACCCTCACTTGTTTAGAGGAAAGGGACAAAAAAAAAATGCTGTGTATAAACCGTTGAGTAGTTGGATTGAGGACAGAGTAAAAGTATCGAAAGTTTCTCTTTGCCTCCCTCCTATGATCCTTTTAAAGTTGGACAGATTTAGTTAGTTTGGTCCAGAGGGTTCCTTTCCCCTTGCTTTAGTAGCTGGGTCGAGGAAAAAGAGTACAATTATCAAAGGAGTCTCTTGTCTCCCTCCTTTGTTCCTTTCAAAGTTGGACAGATTTGGTTTGTTGGGCCCAGAGGGCTCCTTTACCTTTTATTCTCCTTCCTACCAAATGAAGGATAAACTCTCATTTCCTGCTCTCCTATCTGGGTCTCTTTACAGAACATAGCGTTAGACATGATAGTAGAGTTTTCTTTTGGGATATTAGAGTGCAGGGTATTGAACTGTGTGTCAGTGTGTGGTGGCTTTGTTCAGAATCAATATGTATGCCCCTGACAGGCAGTCAAATATTTGGGATAATTCGGTTTGTGTGTTTGGTTTTTGTTAATTGTGAATCTTTGTATTTATGTTTGTGCACCTTGGAAGTTATAACTTTTGCATGGACTTTATTCTTATTTCTGCCGAATTCTGAAATTCTCTACTTGATCACAGATATGTGTTTGGTGTTGGCACCACATAATGGACATGGCTGAGAAGGATGAGACAGAGGGGCGGTGTCCTGCATGCCGCACTCCTTATGATAAGGAAAAGATTGTAGGGACGGCTGGAAAGTGCGAGAGGTTGTTTTTCTGTGGACCATAATTTTTTTTTGCATACGATCGATAGCCACATCAATTTTTAATTAGATAAGTAGCAACTGTTGTTGTAATTGCTTGGACCTTTTTCTTTAACTTTTGCCCCACAGATTGGTGGCTGAAATCAATACCGAGAAAAAGATGAAGTCTCAGAAGGCAAAGGTTAAATCGACTGAAGGACGGAAGCAGCTCAGCAGTGTGCGAGTGATTCAAAGGAACCTTGTTTACATAGTTGGGTTGCCTCTTAATCTGGCAGATGAAGATGTAAGCTCTCTCTCTCTCTCTCACTCTGTGTCTGGCATCTTTCTGTTTTGGCTTGTAGAGGCTCACTAATTTAACGCATCTCTTATGCAGCTTCTGCAGCGCAGAGAATATTTTGGTCAGTATGGCAAGGTTTTAAAAGTTTCTATGTCCCGAACTGCAGCTGGTATCATTCAGCAATTTCCAAACAATACATGTAGTGTGTAAGTAAACCTGTTCATAGAGAATTGGTTTGGTAATTTTTTTTTCATTTCCTTGTGTTCTTTGGAGAGATGTTTTTATACAGCTGGATCCCACTGTTTTTATAATTAGCTCAAAAGTTCGCATGCAGTACATGTTAATTTTCTTGTTTACGGCCATGTGATGGTGATTGTTGCTTGTTAATTTTCTTATTGATATTTTACACATTCACCTTTCATTTGATTTGATCGCAATGTTCAATTTTGGTATTCTAATATTAAGACTCCAGCGTAGCATAGCATTAAGCTTGTTGCGATCTTCCAATTGCCATTGTGTGCTTAGTGTTGGTTTCATAATGGTTCCTTGTGCTCAGATATATTACTTACTCGAAAGAAGAGGAAGCGGTTCGTTGTATTCAAAATGTACATGGGTTCCTCTTGGATGGTAGATCGCTGAGGTACATGCATGTTTATATTTGTTCTCTCATTAATGAAACGCATGATTTTACAGCATAGAGTCGTTGGTATAATAATCCCTTATGTTTCAGGGCATGCTTCGGGACCACAAAGTATTGTCATGCATGGCTGAGAAATGTGGTATGAATCATTACTTGGTCTATCTGGTTTATAAAATTTCTCTATTGTAGTTGTATTAAATTTTAAAGAATCTATTTGAGGACTGACTTTTGTTCTTTCCAGCCTTGCACCAATCCTGATTGTTTGTATCTGCATGAGGTTGGGTCTCAGGAGGACAGTTTCACTAAAGATGAAATAATTTCTGCATACACTAGGTATTTAATTCGCCAACCTGGCCATTATTTTCCAAATGACCCGTGTACTGCATTATTGCTGCCCTTGTTGATTGTAATAAATCTATCAGGAGGTTTTGGAAGAGGTGTTTATTATGGCTTCATTCGCCAAAACCTAGGCTGAAGCATTTTTTTCCTACAAAAATACAGTTGGTGAGGCACAGTGTGTATGAACTCTGCCAAACCTATAGCACTTCCAATGAGCCTGGAATTGTAACCAAGCTCTTCAATGTGCATAATAGCCTTTCTTCAGCTTGATGCTTATCATGTTGTCTAGAGTAATGATAAGCATTCTCTGCGTTGGGATTATTTGGAAGGATATAGTTGGCCTTAGGCCTGATAAATCCATCCCAAAGATGGTCGTGAACATTAATGATAGATGGTTGTGGAGATGAAGGTTAAAGAAATTTATCATACATTAAATGCTTTAATATAGTTCAATTTTTTCGTATGTTGTCATTTAAATAGGCCTTTTCTTGTACTCTCTGCATGTTTTTTAAACTTTGGGTGGTGTTTTCGTTGGATGATTAATTAATTTGGATAATGGTTTCCTGAAGGAGTAGGGTACAACAAATTACCGGTACTGCAAACAGTATGCAACGGCGTTCAGGGAGTGTTTTGCCTCCACCACTAGATGATTATTGTAACAGCAGTTCTACTTCTGCTGGAGGACCAATTATTAAAAATGGTTCAAGTGTAAGTGTCATATGTCACTGGGTAGTTATGGAATTGCAAGGATAAGCTGGATGCTATCATTTCTGTTTGCTGTTTATTTTGAGTGTTCTTGTATTCCTTTGAACATCTTTTTCATACTGGATAGTCTAGAAATATTCGACAAGAATTCTGGAAACCTATATTAAAGTGAAGTTAAAGTTATAGATAGTTGGTAATATGAAGTTTAGGTTGTGTGGTTGTTTGATATTAGCCGGTTATAAGTAGCAGTTTTGAGTCATATCTTATTGTTTTGATTTTGTTTTTAACCTGGCAGAATACTGGAAGCCTTCTTAGAGGTTCTCCTCCAAATGGAAGCTCTGGTAGATCTATTGCTCTTCCAGCTGCAGCCTCATGGTATCTGGTTATTTATTATTTTTTCCTTTACATTGTTTTATGATTGTAATCAATCCTAAAAATACTGAGTGCACGTTGCAGGGGAACACGTGGTTCAAATTGCCAACCACCAGCTACAAGTATAATAAATTCGAATGGACATACTAAACAGAAACCTGATGTCAATTGCACATTGCCATTTTCTTCAGCAGCGGTTGCTACTACTCAGGCTTCTGTACTGCATAGCGATGCAGGAAAGAGGTCAGCATTAAATGATGAAAGTCAGACTATGCATGCTAAAGGTAAACCAGAATCATTGAAGATTGTGAGACAGAATAGTGGCGTGGATTGTCAGAATGACCTGTCTGACGAACCTGCTGCACCCGATGAAGCTCCTGCTTCTGTGAATGGGAGTAGCCCTTTATCTTCCCCCCAAACAACCAAGGATAATGATAGAGGCAGCAGCATGCAGCCAAACATCAGCAATGCCACCAACCATAGTCATATATCTTACGGTTCCCGTCATGAAAAAGAAAACATTGTTTCCACTGAAGAAGTGGTCCAAGATAGAAATTCCATGGTAGAACATTCTGGTGTAGTCAGATCAAATAGTTCACTTTCTGATAATTCTGTGATTAAATCGCCTCGGAACCAAGGGTTACAGCAATATTGTGCTGAGCAGTCCAGAGAACCTCCAATAACTGCTGTGACAGCTGTTAATGCAATGTGTGTTGCAAGGGAACAAGCCAACTGGATATCAGAGTCACAAGCACAACTAGTACCAAATGCATCTTTTGAGGTGGAAGAGGATGTACTATCTTTCGACAATCAGAGACTCAAGGATCCAGAAGTGAGTCGTTCAACATATTTGCCTAGTTTGGCTAATGCGGTCCATGTTTCAAATCATTCTAGGTCTCCATTGTTGCATAGTGAAGCTTATGGTGCAGTTTATTCAAATGTTGATCGTCCATTTGTTGATAACAAAATGAGGGACAGTTCACTTCTATCTTCATCCAGTATTTCAGTAACATCTAATGGTTACCCTGAGAACTTGGTAAGCAGATCTTCTGGTTCAGAAAGGCCGTTGGAGCATTCCTTTCTGCTTCCAAATGAAGGCCCAGGGAAGCACAGTGGAAGATTCCTGGATGATGCAGCTAATGCGGATTTCAGTGCTGCTGTTGACAAGGGAGAGAGTAGCATAATCTCAAATATATTATCAATGGACTTTGACACTTGGGATGACTCAATAGCGTCACCACAGCATTTTTCGAAATTATTGGGTGAAACTGATAGACAGCCTGGAGCTCTCAAAATGTCAAGTCCTTGGAAAGTACAAAATAACAATCAGTCCAGATTCTCTTTTGCAAGACAGGAGGATTCTAAAAATCAAGCATTCGATGTACAGTCATCTCTGAATGTCGTTGGGCAGTTTTCTAATAACCAATCATTCCACCATGGTTTTTCTGAAAATAGAGATTTAGGTTTGGAGAATCTTGGAATTGGAAATGGTTTTTCATCTAGCTCTTATGAAGAACCTGAAAATCATGGCAGCAATCATTTAGCTCTTTCTTCTAACAAGCTTTCTGGTGAGTACTGACTGGCTTTATGTTACTGTTTCTTCTTTTGCTGATTACCTATTGGGGTTTGTTGTATTTGCTGCCTTCCATCGGTCTTAGTAGGAATTTGTTTATGTTCTTTCTTGATGTTTAGCGGCATGCATTTTTTTCTGTGCCCCACATTTTGTTGCACGCAGTCAAGATGTTTTTTAAATGATTCCTTGCATGATCTGCGCTCTCATGTCACTTAATAATGCTCGTGAGACCTTTCTTTTTTATTTTTGTTTCCGGAAGTTTGAATTATCTAATAGGTTCATGACCTCTGTGCTTAAAGTTCTTGTTTATTATGATCAGTGATTATTATTAGTAACAGTTTTTAAATGGGTTTTCACTTTATTTTCTTCGCTGGCCTGGGGGTTGTTTTTCATGCTGTCTTGTTTCTAACCATTATTAAAATCTTTCAGTGGTTTCAAGGGCTCAAATTTCTGCTCCTCCTGGATTCTCTGTGCCAAGCAGGGCACCACCACCAGGCTTTACTTCTCATGAGAGAGTGGATCAGGAGTTTGACTCTCTGGCTGGTTGGTTATATACAATATCTTTTAATTTGACTTTTTCTAATGCATCTGATGTTTTAAGTGCTAATTTCATTACCTGTTTCTCAGGGAATCATTTGTATGATACTTCCTCTTTGTTGAGAAATGCATATCAACCTCAGGCAACTGGTAATATTGGTAGCTCTGGGGATATTGAGTTTATGGATCCTGCTATATTGGCAGTTGGTAAAGGGCGACTGCAAGGTGGGCTTAACAACCCCGGCCTTGAAATGAGATCAAACTTCCCTTCACAGTTAAGTGCCTATGAAAATGATGCAAGGCTTCAACTGTTGATGCAAAGATCCCTCACCCCACAACAAAACGTTAGATTTCCTGATTTTGGCGATGGTTTTTCTCACGTCAATGATTCTTATGGAATTTCTTCGATGCTTTTGGATCAATCTCAGACTAGCAGCAATCTATCCCCTTTTGCTCAATTGTCCCTCCAACAACAGTCTAGAAACCGGGTCATGTCAAATGGACACTGGGATGGGTGGAATGAGGCTCAGGGTGGAAGCACTCTGGGTATGGCAGAGCTCTTGAGAAATGAGAGACTAGGGTTCAACAAGTATTATTCTGGTTATGAAGATTCAAAGTTTCGGATGCCCAGTTCTGGTGATCTGTATAACAGAACATTTGGGATGTAATATTGCAAAATGATAGCTTTGCATGGTTGGGGAATGTTCAAAAGGAATCGAGGGCTGTGTGGTTGTGTGACCTTGTATTCACGGATGGGACTGACTCATAACTGGTCTTTGCCTCGGCAGCCTTATGTAGGGTCAAACTCCCGTAACTTTTGGGGTCTGTAATCCTGCAGGTAAGGATGAATTACTTGTTTAGGTTTTTGTATGTGGACATATTTTAATTTTTCTAGTTTGTTAGCATGGCCATATAGAGGAGAAGCATGGATCTATTATTGCTTGCAGGGCTATTGTTGCATCATGTAGTGCATCTGCTTTCTCCTCTTTTTGTTTTCACTTCCCACTAAATGCTGCTTTTCTTCTTCCCAGCCTCTTCTCTCCCTCATAAAGGCACATAATTTGTATGTTCCTTTGATTTAGACATTATGGTTAGCATGTTGTGCATTGAACAAACCTGTGTCATGCGAGTCTTTGGTTCTGTTTCTACAAGTGCCACTATGCCAATTCACTTAAAAGTAGGATAGTAAGAATGCCTGCCTCTTGGGTCCCCGCACCTTTTTTCCCTTTGCTAGATTTAAGTTGGAGTGAATTACTGGTATGTGCATTTTCTTGTATTTAGTTGGGCTTCTACTTTGTATGCATTTGCAGGTGGGGGTGATAAATGCTTGATGTGAAGCTTGTATTGCGGGTTGCTGTATATGGTCAATTCGGACCGGCTGATCATCCAGATGATGAGTATTCAACTCCCTGCTGTACGAATATTTGATTGTTGCTCTCACAACTAAATGGCTGAAATCTGACCCCTTTGGGGAGTTTTATACTGCGCTAACTGTTTAACATGACAAAATGGATATTAATGAATTTACACCTTTTTTTCCCTTCTAAGTTTCTATTTGTATTGTGTTTGCAAAGTTCAGAACAGAGAAGTGATTGGAATTAAAAAGTATTTCGTGCAATTATTTTCTGAGTGGGGTGTGTGCTGTAACTAAGCGGGATGGTAATGTTTTGTATTTTCCAAAAAAAGAAAAGAGGAAGAAAAAGCTAGAAGCTATTATTTTGAAGAGAATTGTTTATCCATCAGTGTCTGCTATTGTTTTTGTGTAAAGGAGGGCGTGATGTGGGTTTTGCTCTGTAGAGGCTGCTGTGCTACGAGGGATTTGTTATTTATTTTCATGCCTTTCGGATTATGTTGGATCATTATTGTAGAAATAAAATAAATAAATAGATATCTGCTTGATGGTAAAACAAAGCTGTTAGTTGCTTGGATGCTGTCATATTTTCCAAGCATATAATTGGAGACTTTTTGTATGTGGGCAGCGTAGTAGACAATTCGTATATAATATTGATTTGGTATTCTCCCGTTTATATTTTCCAAGTAAACAGTGCTATCTCCGGTATAAAAAAGGTTATTTTTCCCTTTAAAAGAGGTCACAACAAGTCTCTACAAGTTTATATATTATTGGCGTTTGGTAGGTAAAGACTGAAAAGAAAGCATTGGGGTTGGCTGTGGGGCCCTTTTGGACCGTCGCATTGTGTCATATTTCAACATTCCCAGCTAGGGGTGTGCATTAGAATCGCAAAATTGAACCAAACCAATCTGAAAAAAAATCAAAAAAAATTGTGTTGACCGTAAAAGTCAAAAACCGAGACAAATCCAAATCGGACCGGTTCAGACCGGTTCTGGTTTCAGTTTTCCACCCTAAGGAATCGGTTCAATCCGAACCGGTCCAATAAAATTAATATATATGTATTATTTTCATACGTGGCTAAGTTTGATTGGGTGTCTACGCTACTACCATAGGCGCGCATCACACGGAAAACAAAAAAGGACTCTGAATGACCTAGGTTTTTTTGTCTTCGTTTTCCTCTCTTCCATTTCGTTTCTTCTTCGTTCCTTCATACAGAGCCGCCCTCTTCCAAACCTCTCTCTCTCAGTCTCAGCCATCACGTCACGCCGCTCTGCAGCCGCTCTTCTCCCAGTCTTCGCCGTCGTTCTGTCAGCCATCCTCCTCCTATCTCTTTCTCAGCCGTCGCGCCGCCGTCACTCTCACTCACGCAGGTTAGATAGATTCTGTCTCTTTTTTTTCTTTTTTTTCTTTCCCTTCGATTCTCTGTCTGACCAATTTGTGTGTCCTCCAGCAGCAGCAGTTCGTGCAGACCAGCATCAATTTTCTCACGGCTTCCAGCAGCAGCAATTTCCAGCATCAATTCTGTCTCTCTCAGGTATTCTTCATCTCTCTCTCTCTCTCTCTCTCAGATATTTTGAATTTGATGTTTTGCAATTGAAATTTGGATGTTTGCAACTGAAATTTGGATGTTTTACCATGTTAATTTGCTAATTGATGCTCATCCCATCCAATGGATATCGTACCCAATATTCTTGTGCTAGGCTAGGCTTAGTTTGTATTTTTGTACTCACAAATTGATTTAGGTCATATTTTATCAACTGACAGAATTTTTAAAAATAAAGGGAAATTGTTTCAAGTTGAAAAGATTTAAGGTTGTGTGGATGAATGATCTTCCATGGGTGACCCACTTCACATTATTCCATGGGTGACCCACTTCACATTATTTATTAATGTGAGGTCTGTATAGTCTGCCATCGTGAATTGGCCATTGAGTTTTCATCTGCCAATTAGTTTGGCATAGTATCTCCTGCCATATTGCTGGAGTGATCGTAGATGATGTTTTAAAGCGATTTCCAGAATGCTGCAGATCTCAGGATAAAACTAAGGAAAATTGGCATGCTTACTTTTATGCACAGTAATTGTGGTTTTGATAGTTATTTACTTCAATCAATATGATAATTGGTTTTGATTATATCTGTATGTACAGCTTGTATTAATACATGTAATACAATTGATTAATACATGTATATGCATCATGTTTAATTGGGAAATGAAAGTAAATACATGTAATACAATTGATTAATACATGTATATGCATCATGTTTAATTGGGAAGTGAAAGTAAATATAAATATGATGCACATAGTTATTTTTTTACTTAAGTGTTTTGTTTTGTTAGTTCGATTGTATAATATTTAATTCTGTTTTTTTTTAATGTATTATATAATGTGTATGTTTGACTAATGTTTTAATGGGTTTATGTTTTTTTTATGTATGTAGATATTATGAGTTCATCCACACCTAGCACCACAACTCTAGCTACTTTTCAATGTTAGGAGGAATTTAATGAAGTTGGATTGAATTTGGGTTGTATTTGGGTTGTAATTTATTTTGGAACTTGTTTTGTTGAAGTTTGATTGAATTTGGGTTGTAATTTAGATGTTGAAGTTGGATTGAATTTGAATTGTATTTTTGTTGAAGTTAGATTCATTTTGACGTGTTGAAAGTTTGATGGAACCTCAAATTTGGGGTATGTTAGTATGTATAACATTTTGGGCAGGTTTTGATGTGTTGAAAGTTTGATGGAACCTCAAATTTGGGGTATGTTAGTATATAAATACATTTTGGGCAGGTCTGTAAAAAAAAATAAATAAATAAAAAAGTGGGCCCATGCCCAAATCGGAACCATAAGAACCGAACCAGAACTGGACAGGTTCGGGTTGGTTCGGGTTTTTATATGGATTTTAAGCAAAACTGGTTCAAACTGAATCGGTCTGCATTTTCGATTCAGGTTCTTTTTTTTATTTATGAAAACTGATTCAAACCAAACCGTGCCCATCCTTAATCCCAGCTGGCTCTTTGCTACTCTTTTAGTTCTACTTCTGCTCTCCTCTTGAATCTCTCCCAATAATTGATCGCTTCCTATATCCCATGAATCTGCTCCAAGGACTTCGGATAGGCCATGTCCTAAATATCATAAGCATGGTTGTTTTGAGGAGGCTAGAATGAGGGGTTGTTTTGAGGGGTTATAATGAGGGGGTCCTTAATAGCCGTTTGATCCAATGTAGAGTTATTATTGGACTGTTGGATTCGACTCTCTCATTGTAACTCCCCCACAATAACCCCTCATTATAGAAGCTTCCGTTTTGTTTTAGCAATTGTGGGGAGTCATTGCGTCTGAAAACAACTCACAGTTCCATAATTCCATTATACGGTGCCAATGTTGACTGTGTGGTTATTTCCTTTAGTTGGCATTGGCGAAGCCTTTCATTTTCCCGGGTTACTTCAATTGTGCTATCAATAATTTCCAACGTCAGCTTTGAGACACTGCGACTGCAATGCAATGACAATAAGCATTGCTTTCCACGTGAAACGACATTGTTCGGTCTTGTTGGCATGGTTACAAGATGGTTGCCGGAAGATATAAAACTAAGGGAGGCTTGACAATGTGAATGTGTACTGGGTGGTAGATTGTTGTACAAGCATCAAAATGTTAGTAAGGGAGTAAAAGATAGTTTGATGCTTATGTTTGCTAATTATGAATTATGATTACACAATATCTTTTTCTTTTTCTTTTTCTTTTTCTTCATTTGTTATATCTACATTTCATTTTAAAGTTTCTTTCTGTAAATGTTAATAGTATTTTATACTATTAACAAATCAATAAATATAATTTTTGAATACTTAAGATAGTATAAGCTATAAGAGCATCTCTAAGGGAAGAGACAAAAGAGTAGGCAAACCTCATTACTCTTGTCACATCAACATTTTCATGCTCCAAGAGAATAGGCAAATGGGTAGGCAAAATATACATACTTTCCCCAACAAGGCAATATTGCCTACTTCAAAATAAAGAGGTATATTGGGTTCCACTTAATTTTTATGATAAAATATCACTCCACTCTCTCACATACTTTCTATAAAATATAATAGTAAATGTAAAATATAAAAATAAAAATATAACAATGCTTTGTAGACTTGCATTGCCTAGTCTCTTGGAGTGACTAACTTTTTTCATAAGACAAATGGATAAGCAACATGCCACCTAGGTTGCTATAGTACAATTTTGTCTATTTCATTTGCTTACTCCCTTGGGAATGCTCTAAGGCCATCTCCAACCCATGAGGCTAAACCCAAAATATCCCAATACCTCTCCAAACCCAAGAAAATGAAGGGGCCAAAATTTGGGAAAACCCAAACTTTGGGCCAAATAGCAATCCAACTATTGCCTAGACCTAAAAAAAATTTGGTAGAGCCCACTGACTGCTGACACAACCATGTGCAAGAGAGACAGAATGGGGCCTCTGTTGGGGCCCGTGTTGCATGGGATGTTGGATGACTGACGCAGTCAGTGTGCCAAGTGCCGAGACGTGGTCATGTTGCCGTTGGAATCCAATGGCAACAATTCAAACTTTGTTTTTTTTATTTTAATATATATTCTAATAGTAACTTAAATCAACTATATAAATTAAATCTAAGCTATTTTAACGGTAATAAAAAAAAAAATCCAACGGCTGAAATTTAAATCTAATGGTCAAAATAATATTTTAAATTAATATAAATCAAATCCAACCCCAAAACTCACTCCAAACTCTATAAATACCCACCTATTTCTCAATTAATCTACCAAAAACATTTTTTCTATTTCTCAATTTATTTTTCCTTTGTCAATTTCATCAATCTCCTTTCATTCTCATACTTTTCATATCATTTCAAGCACATCACCTTCTTCATTCTCATACTTTTCATGTTTTCTTTTTTAGGGGGGGTATTATTTGGCCAGCTTTCCAGTCCGGGCAGAAATTTGTGGGCCCCAAATTGAAGGCAACTTGCAGCACATGAAGGAAAGCAAGAGAAACTGAGGAGGTGGGCCAGCCATGTCAGCTACTTGAAGGGAAAGTTGATGACGCGATTAAAAAGTGACTTGATCAACAACAAATTGATTTTTTATTTATTTCAAATGTAATGGCTAGTTTAATCCAACGACTGTGATTAAAAAGTGACTTGATCAACAACAAAAAAACAAATGATCCAACAACTAAAATTAAAATCCAACAACTAAAATAAATAAATAAAATATTATAAATCAGATCTAACCCCAAAACACATCTCAAACTCTATAAATCTTCATTAAAGTCTATGAAATAAAATGTTGTTGTAATTTTTTTTAAAGTGAAATTATATTATATTTTGGATTTTGGATTTTTTTAGGTTAAAATCTTCAGAAAATTAATTCACGAAGGTTGAAACAAAAATAATATCAAGAAAAATTAACGAGAAAAAAAAAAGGGGTTAACCTTTTTTAAACAATTTAATAAAGTTATGGACTTAAATTATGAGTCTGCATGATTGGGGGAAAAAAACTATTTGAGTTCAGGCAATACATGAATACTTGTATTTTGAAGGGGAGAAATTTGGGTTTAGCCCCATTTGGATATGGATTGGAGATGGCCTATGGGAATGAGAATTTGAGATGCAAGTTATGTTTTTTTAAAACTTGTAGACCTTGTTGCTAACTAAATATATTATATATTTATCACTAGAGCTTTTCAAATATAAGCCATAACATTTATTGAACCAACAATAAATTAAAAGGGACATTTTGGAAAAAGCAAAAGGAGAGAGAAAAATTTTAAAAGAAGCAAAAATGGACAAAAATGCCCTTATTTATTTTTAGATTTCCTAAGGAATCCAATACATTTGCATGTCTTTGATTTGAAAGTTGAGTGGTTTTTTTGTCTTTTTCGAAAAAGCTTTGGCTTTTTTCAAAAGTGAAATTTTTTTTATGTCTAAAACCTAAAAAACCTTTATCCCAAAATAACCCATCACATCTACGCATTTTAGAGAAAAACTAGACCTGGCAAACGGGTCGTATTAACGAGTTTCCTTCTCTACCCCACACACCTTCTCTGTCTTTTTTCCCCCAAACCCCAACCCTAATTTTTCTTCCCTCTTTCTCTCTTTATTTCAGTCTTCTCACCCCAAAATAGTATATCTCTCTCACACATATATATTAAAAACTCAACAACTACATAAACTGAGGAAGAAAGAAAATTCAAAATTGACTGAGAGAACCAAAACCAACAACCTCCTTCTTGATCCGTGATGAATGGGCTGCCGGAGTCTATTGAGTGGAGAGAAGAAGAGCATAAGAGAATTTTGACCAAAAAAGAGCAAGGAAGCAGAGAAGCAAAGAAGAAGAGAAGAAGAGAAGAACGGGAGGAAGAAGAAAAGGAAAAGGGGAAAGAGGAAAAAGACAAAAAAGAAAGAAGAAACAGACACGGAAAGAAGGAAACTAAAGAGGAAAAGGGGAAGAAGAAAAGAAAAGAAAAAATATTTTGCAAAACTACCAAATTACCCTCCTTAACGGGTGGATGCGAATATTCGCGAATTGACCCAACCCAACCCGTTAGCTTAACGGGTAGCTAACGGGTTCACCCGTTTTCAACCCAACCCATTAAGCTCAACCCAAATACTGATAATTTCGTACGAATTCGTGTCGTGTTAACGGGTCGTGTGCAATATTGCCAGGTCTAAGAAAAACCCTTCTAGGTCTAATACTTTATGGCTTGCAGCACAGCAGGAGTACATAGTTACAAGAAAGAATAAAGGCCTTGGAGAAAACAATTACAGGAAATCAGGAGAGAATAAAGACTTTGAAATTACAAAAAGAAAACGTGTATACAGTAATCAAGGGTTGATTTCCTGATTTATAGGCAATAGTGTAGATTCACCTCTATCACGTATACAATATCGATTCGGTATTCCTCCATTTCCCATTTCCATTTGATTTGTAGATGCTTTCTTTTTCATTTCTTGTGGAAGTATTTAATTTAAATGACAACTTTGGATGGATCCTACTATTACTATGCCTCCCCAACAAACCATGACAAAGTTCTGATGGTGCTTGGTGAGTCCAACATGAAGCTCTGAATTATGAAGAAGCAATTGCTTTTTGTGCGCTTTGATATTTCCTTCTCTCGTATGCCTTATCGTTATTGACTACTTTCGTAGCAGTTTAAATTTTTGAGATCCAGTGATCGTCTAACATCTAAGCCATTTAGATTTCTTTTTGATAAGATGTTGATGTTTATTTGTTCACTAAACAATTTAGGTAGAATAATGCATCCAAGTTAATAATGTACCTAATGAAGGACAAAAACTTAAGTCTAATCTATGATCAATGGTTGACATCCTAGAGCAGGCAGTGGTCCTGATGATCACCAATGTAAATTGATTGGTCAAGAGGAGGAGCTAGCACTAGAGATATTAGATATAGTGCAGTCAAAATGGTAGTGTGTTCATCATGGAGCACAATTGTGTAGAGAGCAATTTTTTTTTTAAATTTCTTTTTCCATTTGAATACTGAGAGAAAAATAAATTGCACCAAATGCTTGAACTATAATGCTTTACAA